TATTTTTCATTTTGAAATTGGTTACAAAAGGTAGAGAACACAGAGTGTAACTCGTCCTTGTGTCTTAAGAACTTTACCCATGTCTATCTGCTATAATCATTTACAATCACTAATCCATACTTCTTGTCACTGATGAATGAATTTTTCACTGATCCAAATAGATCTATATGCAGAAGTTTCAATGGTATAGAGGTAGAAACACCATTTTTTTATTTGAAAGAAGGTTTTGCAAACTTTCCTTTTTGACATGCTTCACATAGAGCATCTGAGTGGAACTTCAAGTTAGGAAGTCCTCTGACAAGATTGAGTTTGTTAATCTGAGATATGCTTCTCATACTAACATGCCTCAATCTTTTGTGTCAGACCCATTACTTGTCGTTAACAGACATAAGGCATTTTATATTCTGACTTTTTAGTTCAGAAAATTTTATTTTATAAATGTTGTTCTTTGTCTTACCGTTAAACATGATAGACCTATCTTTCTGACTAATTGCTTTACAGGACTTTTGATTAAATATTATATCATACCCGTTATCACTTAATTGACTTATGGATAACAAGTTATGCATTAATCCATCTACTAATAGAACATTAGTTATAGAGGGAAGTGTATTATTTTCAATACTAATAAAGTAAATAATCTTTCCTTTTTTATTGCCTTCGAAACCTACATAGCCTCCATATTTAAGCTCCAGACTTTGGAACATATGCTTTCTTCCGGTCATGTGTCGAGAGCATCCAGAGTCCAGGTACCAAGATTGGTGTTTCAACTTTGTTGTTAAAGACATCTACAACATAGATGATTTTATCCTTAGGTACCCATATCTTTTTGGGTCCTTGTTTGTTAGAGTTTCAAAAATTCTGTTTGAATTTTGGTTTTGCAGAGAAGGCATTAATAGTATACTTTATATCATGTGTATGTTCATATGTAAAGAATAAATAGATAGATGTGTGTTTTATAACTATATCATCAAATTTCTTTGGTTGAGATGTTTCTTCTCCCCTTAGTTTCATATATCCTATATCTTTTATGCCGTTTATGCTAACTCCATAGATCATTGAAGCCATCTTGCTCCTGTCTATGTTTTTAGCTAGAAATTTTTTAAAGTTATGATCATATTCTTTTATTATTTTATCAGAAATATTTGAAACTTCTGAAACTGTTTCTTTCTGAGCTTTTTGTAATTCATTTTTAATAACATAGTTTTCATTTTCTAGTTTAGAAATGGTTTCTTTTAGCTCATAGTTTTCTGTTTTTAGTTTATTAGTTTCCTCAGAGTCAGATACTTGAACCTTTTTCAGGTTCTTATTTTTGACTCAAAGTTGCTGATATCATTCAATAATTTCTGACGTACTTTCTTCTAATTGAGATCTAGAAAAGTTAGATAATACCTCTTCTACCTCAAAGTCTGATTCTAAATTCAAATGTTCTTGTGCCATCTGTTATGTTGGCCATTAAGGCTATGTTGGATCGTTCATCTTTTGATTTTGTTTCAACTTCAGAAGATTCTGAGTCATCCCATGTTGCCATGAGACTTTTCTTCTTTTCTTTGAAGAACTTCTTTTTAGGCTTTTCTTTCTGAAGATTTGGGAAGTAGATTTTGTAATGACCTGGTTCCTCGCATTCGTAGCATACAATATCTTTGTTGCTAGATTTTTTGTATCCATAATATGATTCATAGTGATTTATTGTTCTTCTGGAGTTTCTAAACTTCCTATGCCTGTGCTTCTGTAGCTGATTGACTCTTATGGAGAGAATAGGTAGTTTGTCTTCTTCTAACGAGGATCCACCAAAGTTTTCTTCTTTTGCATGAAAAACTTTAGGTTCACATTTTTTTTTAGATTTAAGAGCGAGAGACTTACCTTGCTTTTGGGGCTCATCTTCTTCCAGTTCTACTTCATGACTTCTATAGGGGCTGATAAGTTCTTCAAGAGATATTTTATTCAGATATTTGGCTAGTTTTAAGGCTGTGACCATGGGTATCCATTTCTTGGGTAAGCTTCTGATGATTTTATGTACATGATCTGCTTTTGAGTACCCTTTGTCCAGAACTTTTAGCCCAACAACCAGAATTTGAAACCTTAAGAACATTGTTTCAATTGTTTCATCTTCTTCCATTTTGAAAGCCTCATACTTCTGAATGAGTGAAAAAGCTTTGGTTTCTTTAACTTGTGTGTTGCCTTCATGTGTCATTCTCAGAGAGTCAAAATATTCTTAGTTGATTCTCTATTCGCGATCTTCTCATACTCGATGTACGAGATATCACTCAAGAGGATTGTTCTGGCTTTTTGATGATTTCTGAATTCTTTCCTTTGTTGATCTATCATCTCTTTATGTCGGCCTTTTGACCGCTTTCATCAACTTGATGAATGTATCCATCAGTCACCATATCCCAAAGATCAGCATCATAAGCTAGAAAGAAACTTTCGATTATGTATTTCCAGTAATCGAATTTCTCATCATCAAAGATTAGAGGTTTTTCGTTGATTCTGTCTTTCACATCATGGTTGTCATTGCAGATGATCTGACTTAGTCCCACCATAGTGTTTTTCTTGCTAGGTTCTTTTTCTGACACAATTGTAATACCCCAAATTTGTCCTACCTTTAAAAACGAAATCCTCTGGATTATGCATCATCATGTACGTACTCCTCCATTAGGTCATTTAATGCACCGTGCATACACTAACAATCAAGGCTTGGTATTTGAATCAAGGGTCATGGAGATAAAGGTTTCGCTTGTATATTAGGATTTCTCTATCTTTTGCAGGGTTTGTTTCAACTAAGAAAGCTCAAGAATCTTGATAAGAGTATATGCCTTATACTCAATAACATTCGATGAATGCTCATGACTTGATTGTACATCATTAGAGATTCTTGTCTCTTTAAGACTTTGGCTTCACTAATCTGTCATGTGAAATAACTACATGGTTGCTCACAACACAATGCATTCCAAACTCTCATCCCAAGGACCATGAGCTAGGGAATGGAGACTCTACAAGCATCGTCTTCTTGTACTCATCATCACCATTTGATTAGGGTTTATTTCCCTAATCAATGTGCTATTCAAGGGGAATGCTCAGTGAAGTCTTGAGTTCATCAATGGATATCATCACATAAGGGATTTCATCAAAGTGAAAGTTATTGGAGGAAACTTGGTGGTATACATGGCAAATTAAGGGTTCATTGGATTAGGGTTTCTTATAAGAGCTTAGGTTTACCCAAAGCTCTCAAGGATCATAGACAGAGATGAATTTTGTGGTGTTTGCAGGGATCAATTAATTTTAGATATTAATGATCAGTATAAGGTGTCTCACTTCAATAATCAGAACTACAGTTGCGATATCAACTTAAAGGTGTTACAAGTCTTCCTACTATGTCTAATACGAATCTTTGGATTTTCATCCATGATTTCATTCAAATTGTTATGGGCAAGGAAGTAACCAAAAATCCTTCATTTGAAGACATTCAAGCATCCAAAATAGTGAGTATGAAGAAAAAGATTAAGGTTATGCAGGTTGCAATTTGAATATTGTTTTAAAATGTCAAATAAAAGCATTTGAAAGATGAAAGTCCTCTTACATTCTTAAAGTGCAAGACTTCACGAGTCAACCAATGGAAAGTGTTTGAAACTTAGAAATAGAAAGATGTTTCAGAAAATGTGTCATTTGGATTTACAAATTCACAATACAAGATTACATTGTATTTCCATGTTTCAGGTACTTTGTTAAATTGCCAAGTTTTCAAATACTTCATTCCAATTACGCAACAAAAGAAAAAACTCAAGTATATTACAAGAATGCTTCAAGTTTGCATCGACATCGTTCAAGTTTCATCTACAACATTCATAGTTATATTCAAGTTACACGTAAAACAAAGCATAAACCTATCCTAAGTCTTCAAGAACAATGCTCCACGGCCAATTCTTCTTCCGAATAACTCTTCATACCACTCGCTACTATGTTCTGAACCATGATATTTTCATCATTTCCTTAAAACCTCTTGCCATGAAAACATGTCTGTATCACCCAAAACATCCTTGCATCATTAAAGAAACTAATATTAAAGGCCACAATACAAACCACCCTGCACATTTAAGAAAATCAGGAAAGTAACCAAATTTCCTCCAAAACCGACTTCTAGCAGAGATCATAACAGAATGTAACTGATTCAATTATAGGAAAATATTTACAGAAAATAATAGATAAAATTTCAAACAAATCTGGCCATTCAATCATGTAACAAGAAATTAAAATCTAAGGGTCAGATTCAGTAGCTTCTAACCAGCTCACCAATCTCCTTATGACAGAATCACTAACTGAATTCATCTCTTAACCAGCCAACAGAACTTCCTAGCAAACAACCATCTATAACCTCCATAAAAAACCTCCCAATGGAATTCCCTCTAACCCCTCTTAACAGTTTCTAACTAACCGATTCAACTAACTTCCCAAACCTCTTCTAATTGTTTCCTAACTGCCAACATGTAACAATTTCTCTAACTCCAAAACCATAACTAACAACCCCTAACAAACTAACAGAATCTTAACAGACTTCCTGCAACTTAAAACACTAACTAACTTTACAAATAGAAGACTGAAAAACCAATCACAAAAACCAACTCCAATAAACTGTTCCTTACACCAGGCACAACAAAAAAAACCAGTTAACCAAAAAAAAAAGATCAAAAACAGTTATTACTTCTTGTATCCCCGTCTAGAATAGAAAATCAGTTATCAGAAAAATGCAGAAATAAAAACAAACCTCCAGAAGAGGAATTCCAACAGAAGATAACAGAAAATCCAACAGAAAGGGAAGAGAAAAGGCATAACAGATTAATAAAACATAAAATTCAATTACAGAAACTCACCAAATATAAATCTTCACGCTACTCTCTCAAAAACCACAAAACCTTCATCTTCCTCTAGCAACCTAAAATCCATCAATATCCAACTTCTTCTTCACCATTTTCTCTGCACTCTCTTCTCTCAACTCTCTCCAATCACCATAACCTACTGCGACTTCTTAGCATCTGCAGCATCCTCTCTCCTTCTTCATCATTATCGTCATCGTTTTCTATAATTTCCATCTTCACCTCTCCTTCTTCATCATTATCGTCATCGTTTTCTATAATTTCCATCTTCACCTCCTTGCGCATCTTCATCGCAGATCTGCAACGTTCATCGCCATTTTCATCATCACTCTCATCCACAATGTAACAATTTGATTCACAACAGCTCCAATACAACATCGACGAGACAGAAAAGCGCTAATCAGAATCAAATCAGAGAAGCGAAAAGAAGAAGATTCACGGTAGAAATAAAGGAATCCCGATCTATTACCTGAATATGCATCTTCGGACTTCTCTTCCACTCCATCGTCAAAATCAAGAACCGCCTAAGTTACTCCGGTAGGTAAGCTCCGATCCTCCTCATCTCTTCGCTTCTTTGCATCGAGCCTGTCACCATGTCATACATCTTGGCTTGCTAAATAATTTCCCTAACGCCTCAATGTTGAATTCAACACCATTATCGTTTAATTGCAGTTTGAAACTCCTAGGGTTTCATTAGTTTTCCCTATGTTTGAGGAGATTAGAAGTGGAATTGGAGAATGAACGGAAACGAATTGAGACGGAGGGGAGAGATACGACAGTGTTGTTTCGAAGCGGTTGAAGAAAAAGGAGATGTAGTCGCTGCTGAAGTTGAGAGAGAAGAACAGTCGAGTTCCCTTTGATGAATTTGAATAGTCACCCTTGAAACCTATCTCCTTCCTAAACGCATTGTTTTGCTTCTTTCTTTATTTTCCTTAATTGATTTTTTTATAATTATTTTATTACTAATAATTGGGAATAATGAAATCTGATAATATGCTGAGAATGGATGAGGACTTGGAAAATGTTAGATGTGTTATGGACCAAAGCACAAGCCCACTAGCACAAGATTCTTAAAAAAAGGTTACTGGATTCTATTAAGATGGGCCTATGTTCCTATTTATTTTCTATACCACACCCCTAGTCCAGACTCTGCACCTTTTATGTTTACCTTTCCTATGTTGCCTTTTTTTTCCTTCAAACTAATTGTTGATTAATTTTTCTTTACATGATAAAAGTGACATACAAAAATAGTAGAATAATATAATGGTTTTTTTTAGGAATTAATCCTTTAGTTTTTTTTTTATAATTCTCTTTACATAAAAACTATAAAAAAATACTTTTTCTCTTATAGTTTTTTATCCGTATTTTCATGCCGCTTTACCATGTTATATTTTGACGCGTTTGTTCATTGTGAAAGCTACATTTTTATGCTTTCGTTCATGTAACATAACATGTAGTTATGTGATCGAGGAATGTGGTTTATGCCCGCTTCCAATGCGGCACACCTTATTTCTCACCGTCCTGAGAAATTCATATTATGTTATATGTTATCCTGATGCATGTGATATCTTATTACGCTTTGTGCAGGAACTCCTGATTACGCGTTGCATTCACAACACGTGTTTGCTTTATCTTAGTTGGATATTATTTTTGACTTTGTTTGCTTCTTGGTGAAGCTTGCTCGACGCATACTCCCTTCTTCTCCATTGCTTTTGTCTGCTCTCGACGACTTGCTCGCTTTGGTAGTTACCGCTACTACCTTCGTACTTCTTCGCACTTTATCATACTTCTTTACCTCTTTTCTAGAAATCATGAGAAGTAGGGCTTTACTGCTTTCTGATGCCATGAGAATTAGGGTAGAGATGTATGACGGGGGTCTTCGTTGCTGATCATGTCAGGAACCCCTCTGGTTTATTTAAAGACCCATTTAGGGCAATTCCACATTGTGTGCATTCTGTTTGCTACTTGTGTATGGTTTGTTTAAAACCCTAACTTTGAGTAGGTATTCTGCATGTGTGTTTATATGTGTGCATGTATTATTCCCAATCCCTTATTGAAGTCCTCAAAAGGAGGCGAGTGGGGAGGGTTAGCAATCAACCGCCGCAATTTCGTTTGTTTCATCCTTAGCTCGTGACGCACCACGAAGCTTCAGAGTTATGCCTGCTCTTGTATATAGAGTCGTCTAGTGGGGAAGGGTTCTGCAACCTAACCCCCACACTTTGTCAGGAGTTCTCATTGGCCGATGCTGAAACTCCATTATCGTTCATATCGTCTTCTGTCGCTTTCCTCGATCTCCTATATCTTGGTTAGGTGTTCAGTCGCTTTGGACATCACTTTTTATTTCTTCATCTCACTCCCGCTTGTTTGTCTCAGGTTATATGCTCCTCTTGTCTAAAGCATTTCGATTCTTTTCTTACTCTTTTATGTGTGTGCTCTTTCGATCTTGCTTGCTTTATCCTTGTACATACCATGTTCCCTTAGAATGTGCTTGCTCCGTTTAGATGCGAGTTAGACCTTAGGTTACAAACCATGCATGCTAACATTAGGTAGACGTTTTCCTTTTGTTAATCAAAATCTTAGGACTACCATTGTATGATAACATTAGGTTTAGAAATAGGCTAGTCTCCCTTAGACTCTTTTAATCCCTTTTTGCATATGGATCTAGAACTAAAGCCTTTTTCTTTAGAAAATCATAAAACATGCTAATTACACTTAAACCCTTTTTCAAGGTAAAAAAATACAGACCAATTCAAACCTTTTGTGCGCCAAAGCACCTTTTCTCAGAAAACCCTTTTCAGGTAAGGACATGATTAATTTACTTCTGTACTAATGCATAAGTCTCCAAAGGTCAAGCTGCGACAGAAGGTGGAATTAACATTGTCCATAAAAAACACAAAACAAACAAAACATGTGAGCCGAACTACGATAGCTCTGATTCCTTAAAAAGGATACGTAGGAATTGGGGTAGGGCCCAAGCGAGTACAACTTTATTTCCCCTACACTATTTTCTCATTTTTTGCATGAATTCTCCCTTTAGCAGTAGTAAACAGTAAGCATAAATTCTAACACACCCATAAGATAAACAACAAGAGTGGATACCATAGAGTACTACAGGCGTGTGGGGTGCTAATACCTTCCCCTCGCACAACAGACTCCCTTACCTGATCTCTCGGTCGCAATACTGTGACTACTCCCTTCTCAGGTTTTCTCGATGTTTACCTTTCCCTTCATGTGGGATAAAAGACGTTCGATGGCGACTTCATTGTTTGATGATTTTCAGCCGGTTGTTTCAACAATTAAGTATTTGCACTCAGAACCAGGCACTCTGATACCAATTGAAGAATGGAAAAACACATGAAGGAGGGGTTTGAATTGGGTTTTTTCAAAATAAAACTATAGCCACGTTGGTTATCCTGGTTTGTTTGAACTCAAAATACTTCAGTCCACCCGCCAAGGTGAATTCTCCTCTCTCAAATGAGGTCTTAATCCACTAATCAAAGCTTGATTATACAGATACAATGACTATTGTCAATGTATTCTTGAGTTTAAACCACAACTTGGTTTTCTCAAGGTATTACAAGATAAATCAATTAAGAGTGTGTACAAAGATGTTTTCTAAACAAAACTATATCACAACAGTGATGTATAAACAATTTAAAAGCACAAGATAGAACTGGGTAATAATATTTTTCAGTGTGCAATTGTGTTTTTTTTATTTCTTCTAGAAGTCTTCTTTATATAGGTGATGCATGAGAGACATGAGAAGATGCCTTCGGAAGGTTGATAAAGTGTTGTTAATTCACTTTCCAAAAATATAGATCTTGTCTTGGTTCAATTGTTCCTTTTTTATTTGTAATAAATGAGTTGTAACGCATCAGAACATTGTTTTCTTGGGATTATATCAAAAGAAGAATATTATCATTGAGACTTCTTTTGTTCTTCCATAATCTTTACTTTTCAGAATATCAAAGTTTTGCTCGCAGCGTTGGTGCATTAAGAAGTTGTAGCATTAGAAGTTCTTCATTTTAGTGTGTTTACATGAATTTGCTTCTGAGTATGTTGTGACTAAACAGAGCTTCAAAATGTACCTCTCTCATCTTCGATGCTTCTTACATCAGAATTTCCTTGCATATTCAAATACATTATTAGAGAAAACATTTGTTCTTTTATATATGTCATGTGTTTGTTATCATCAAAACTCTTACAAGGATATAAAACCAAACTATATTCGAACAGAACCAACTCAAAACAAGTTAGCTCAACATTGCAAGAACAAGATTATCAGTCAAAATCAGCAAAGTTTGATAATATCTGTATTAGAACAAATTATGCAATTTGTTCAAGAAATCAAATTTCCAAAGACATTAGTCAATGACAACTAACCTTCTGTCGAACACATACCCTCTCAGAAGTTCATGAAACATTGACCTTCTGAAAAATAAGCTTCTGTTCAAAGAAAGCTTGACACACAGGTGGATGATTCTGATAATAAAAGATCATAATTTTTGTGCTCTAAGGACTCTCTCAAAAGTCAGACAGGTTATTCTTAACATAAGAATGACGAAACCGTCTAAAGAGAAAACTATGATTCTAGTTCTCAGATTAGACATTAAAATTTAAAAGAAAGTTACTCTTATCAAATCAGAAAACTTAGAATAAGAGAAATAAATTTGAAGATATTCTTCAGTTCATAATCAAACTCCAAGAAGTGAAATATCGAATCAGAATCTCCTTCTTTTGATATTTTTGATAGTCCTTCTAATAAACCTCAACCAAGGAAGAACAAATCACATCCTCTCATCTTGAATATCTTATTCTTGGAAGTAAAGATGCTCCAGTCAGAACAAGATTGGCTCTCAAACCTTTTGATGAATTGTTTCTGGGTTTAGTCTCCTTAATAGAACCTACATTAGTTGAGGAAGCCCTTCTGGATAAGGATTGGATTTTGGCTATGGAAGAAGAACTGAACCAATTCTTAAAGAATGACGTATGGGATCTTGTTCAGGAACCTAAAGGTGTCCACGTCATTGGAACCAGATGGGTGTTCAGAAATAAGCTCAATGAGATAGGTGAAGTGGTCAGAAACAAAGCTCGACTGGTTGCATAGGGTTATAGTCAATAAGAAGGTATAAACTATACTGAAACCTTTGCACCAGCCGCCACATTACAAGCTATTCGGTTATTATATTCATTTTCTGTAAATCATAATATCATTCTTTATCAAATAAATGTTAAAAGTGAATTTCTGAATGGTTATATTTCAGAAGAAGTGTATGTCAAACAACCTCCTGGCTTTGAAAAATATGAGAAATTATACTTTTTTTTAAACTAAAGAAATCTCTTTATGACTTGAAACAAGGTCCTAGAGCTTGGTATGACAAATTGAGCATTTTTCTGTTAGAAAATAAGTTTACCAGAGGAAAGGTTGACACTACACTCTTCTGCAAAATATTCAAAAATGATACTCTAATTGTTCAAATTATTTTTGGTTCTACTAATCCATCT